TCCAACGGCTACAAACAAGGGGCCCTTGAAAAGTTATAATAACTATAGTCGTTGGATGATCTAACAGCCAAAATCTCGGACTAGGTGGATTTGGTGGAAAGGAATCCGTAGAGAATCTCTTTCCCCCAAAATGCTATGTTATGTATGTCAAAACCACTAGCCTCAAATGAAGCCACCAACACATTTAGAGTATTTTATTCACCGGATACTCTAAATGTGTTGGTGGTGTCATTCCAAATAGTAACGGGGACCTTGTTGGTAATTTAATCTGTCGTCAACATCACATCCCCTCTCCAGCTTTGATCAAGTTTCTGGTTGCTAGAGAAGGTGCTTGTGGAGCCGCGGAGCTTCAAGCCAACAAGTTCTCCTTGAATGTGACTCCCTGCAAGGTGTCCAAGCCGTTAACAGCAGCCACCAAGATGCTTCTATCCTCAGCCCATTAATGGACGACACCACATTTTACTTGAGTTCTCTTTTAACTTTTCGCATTACACGCTTTGTCAATGTCGCAGCATATAAATTTGTCAAGTTGATTTTGTACTTTGAATTTGAATTCATTTGCTTTAAAGAACTTCTAGATCTCATTCGTGTTGTTCGTTTGAAAGATTATAATGCTTGATTGTCAATACAATACTATTCTTTCGCATAGAAAACATAAAATTTAAGATCTAACAACTAAAAAATTAAGAGAATATAATTAGAGCACCATAGAAATTTTATCGTGTTTTATGTATGTAGCTTTGGCCCATTACGCAATTGGTAGAAATTGCCACAACATATAGACAGTCACAATGACTCGGTCCAATTCTTTTTAAGCTTTAGACAATGTTAGGAATAAATTTGTAAACCAAATGATGTATCGCTAATAGGAAATGAGCACATTTATCAACGGTTAAGTAATAGTTCAATTATCAATTTCAATGTCATTTAGTTTACGCTTTGGGTAATGCTAGGGATACTAAATTTGTAAACAAAATTTGCGAACTAAACGTTGTGTCACCAATATGAAATGAACACGTTTATCAACACTTAAGTAATAATTCAATCATTAACTTCATGTTATTTAATTTTCAAAATTTTGTTTACTAATTTAATCTCGCTAACTTACCCGCAGGCATTTAGGCTTTGACAAGCTACACTTGTCAATTGCATGCTATAATTTGATCGCTCATTAGAATAAAGATGGATTAAATGTCAAGACAAATTGTGATGTGTCATAATTTTTTCCATTTTCTAACAAAATACAAATAAAAAAACTGCTTCATCAACCAACCCGAGTCACATCATGTTTGGTGCCATAAACAGATCTACTTTGCAACAACAAAAAGCAAACTAGTATTGTTTGTACTCAGTTTTTCACTTTCTATTAGTAGTATTATTTATATTTAACTGCTTGTATAGATTGGGATTTTCTATGTTATTCCAAGTTTTCGATACTTGGAAAATTTTAACCGTTAAATTTTAGTAAAAAAATAAAAACACAAAACTTAAGGATTTAAAAGTTCGGTTAGCTTGTTATAAAATTTCTTGCCATTGAACTACGAGATTGTGTGACATACAATAGGAATCAGAAGAGGAATAAAATAATATTATGGAGGCTAAACAGCCAAGAAGAAGAGGAAGAAAGAAACATGTGAAAGATCACAATTAAAGTACCATCCAGTTAATAATCACAATTAGTTTTTCCTAATTAAAAAGTATTGAAATTCATATATCTCCTAGTCTAATATATCCCAATAGTAAAATAAAAACGTACCAAAGTGATCAGAGCCGGCTTTCTTAGCATCCTAATATTCTTACTCTCTTCGGTGTCAATTTTTAACGTTGCCGTAACCTAATAGAATTAGAGTATCCAACGCAAAAGTAATGACAATTAAATAAGATTTGCAATAACATCGTGTTACTTTCATGACGTGCGATTCTCCCGATGGGTCTTACCGTGGAAAAGTATAGCCGATTATTTGGAGGCTAGTCATGACCAAAGTCGTTCCCATTTAATTAGTAAGGCAAATAAATGGTCAAGGCTTGGAGTATTTAGTCATATTGGTGTGTGAATGAAGTTTGTGCTTAGAAATAATTTATGATCTTATTCGAATTTATTAAAATATGAATAGAGTTTTAATTAAAAAAAAAAAGCATATGTAACTTTTTTTTCCTCTACGATGAACTGTTTGCATGCACAACGCACATGTATCAAATTTAAATTAGAATATTAACAATATTATAGTTTAGTGATATTTTTATTTACTTATGCTCAAACTTTTTACTTTTTTTAATAAAATACCTAAAGAAAATGGAAACATCGATTTTAGCACTCTGATAACACTTGAAGTTCGTAAAATTAAAGTTTCCAAATTATTGACGTGTTACCCTTTTACACACTTTTTTTATTTTGTTTCTTAATTTTCTGTAATTTATTCAATCTAAATACTATAATAAAAAAAAGCAAGTGTTAAGGAAAAAAAATTAGAAATGATTAAAAAAATAGAATCATTTTTGCTTACCAGCTTAAAATTTGGTATATGCTCACTATACACTTAATTATCTTTTATGTGTACTTTCAATTAACATACATCATAGTTATAGTGATGAACAACTACTCTATAAAAATAAAATAAAAAAGCACCAAAGCGGCAGGTGCGTGGATGTAACCCATCATAGAAAGCACCGGGCGGCATGCTAAAGCGTTTTGTAATGTAGCAGTTGGCGCTGATTACCATCTAAAATTACTACCATTTTTGCTATAAGTATCACAACGTAGTAAATACCAGTAAAAGTACATATAGCTCCAATGGTGCCATCTAAAATTAATGACCATGGCTTTTAGGGTTTTAGCTTAAGTAATTAAATGTCTTTATCTTTTTATTTGATGTTAGATGTTTTGTAGCAGCGTGACAAAAAGAAAAAAAATAAATAAAGCAATAACTTTGAAACATAAGAAATTTGAAACCGCCGGAGAATATGAGAAAACCTAAGTTTTTTTATTGAATAAATGAAAGTTAATAAGTCTAACACCATAAATGACGTATCTACTATACTATAACCTAAGTTTTTTTATTGAATAAATGAAAGTTAATAAGTCTAACACCATAAATGACGTATCTACTATACTATACTTTCACGAGAAGTTTTAATATTATACAAAATATGTAACAAAATACCAAAAATATTCTCAAAACTTGTTTCGTTTTGGGCTTAGTGAACATTAGAATCTCGCTATATATCAAGGTGAATACTACTTCCTATTCCTGATGACGTTCTATTCCAAACGGCGGGTCATTGAGTGCAAATCGAACACTAAAGCACAAATTTATAATGCCTGGACTCTGTTGCCATATTTATGTCTTTTATTCTAATTCTCGATGCACTCCTCCAATTTTATTCTAATTCTCAATGCACTCCTTCATAAGATCTACATCACGTTCAATTTTTCCCTTTCATCGCTTCAGTAAATTACCATTTTGTTTTTTTCTGGCTACACTAGCACTTATCCGAAAAATGAACGATTTCCCACCAAGAAAATTTTGTTGTTGTTGATCATATTTGATGAAGACAAATTACTTAATAAGATACAAAAGAGGAAGAAATTCTTGTTCTTAACTTGGTAGCACATGATCCCTATCGCTTGGAGCCTATTGTTCCAACAAACCCAACTGTTTTTGTTGTTGTTGTTTAACTTTATTAAGGTAAGCCATTACTTTAGGATCCCTTATCATGCCTCTCAAATCTCACCCTTGTCGGTCCTAATTGTGTAAAATGTGTGAGAAAAAGTTCAATCCAGCATAAACTCAATAACATGCTAAGAAAGGTAAGCTTGAATTATAAGGGTTAAGCAAATGTACCAATGATCAACAAGCGAATTAAATCGCAAACACATTGGTTAAAGCAGTTTTCTTATTATGCATATGAGTTTGAACTTTCCTCACTCCGTCTTGGATTAGTGTAAATAGATTATAGGTGATAAAACAATTTAAAGATAAAATCTTTTTTCTCTTCGAAGAATAAAGGAAAAAAGAAAAGTGGGAATCATTAAGAAATGGAAAAGAATGGAAGCAGGAGAGGAACAAAGGTATGGACAAAAGGGAAATTTCAAGTCTTCAAGTAAAAGAAAACTTGGTATACCATAAAATTGAATTGTTCAGATTAAGTCATGCAATGTGGCTTCCAGAAAGATTGCAAATGACCAAAAATGGCCGCCCATAACTTTTAAATTAAAACCATGTTACACAGTTTTGGTCTTGAAACTAACAAATCCATAATGGCCTTGCAATGAGTACAACACTCACACTTCCAAGATGTGTGTGTCTATATATATATATATTAATAAAAATGAGGACTAGTTATGGGGTTCACTTCACATTATACTTTAACGATCCAAAATCGTTTATTTTTCAAGTTGTATTTCATAAATCATTCTTGCAAAATATTAGCCAAAATCTGAAATGTTTGAGGTATCTAATTGAGTTTGAAAATTTGTTGAACACTCTAAAAAACATTAAATTTCATCATGACAATCACATGGACAAATGATTCAGATTGAATTGATTCTTTTACAGGGATAATATATGAATGAAGACTTAAAAATAGACGGTTTGGATTGTGAAAGTTCGATGTGAAGTGAGTCCACAACTAGTCCCCATTTAAAACAAATGGAAATCTCTTTGGATAAAGGCTATAGGTATGCATGTATGTATGTATAGATACAGAAAAAATTTGAAAAAATAAAACCCTTGAAAAAAAGCATGGGAGGAGTTTAATTTCCTAATCCAAAAAGTGGTAAAAAGAAAAGTTTACTAGTGAAATGGGTAAGGATTGCATGTTACTTGTCCCTCTTTCTCCATTCATGATCACACTTTATAAGGTTTTTGGCACACTTAAAAAACTAATGAGATTAGTATCATTATTTTTTGTGATTTTTTTAACATTTTAACAACTGTTTTTTCATACCTTGTTATGTGTTTTTAAAAAAAAATGGTATAAAATTTTGGGTTGTGTGTGTCTTTTGGTGAAGGAATGCTTGTCACCTACTCCTTTTAAGTTCCCAATCTCTCTCCAATACTAGTAGCATTCTCCAAAGGCCATAGCTTTAGAGAGAGAAAGAGAGAGAGGAGGGCCTTAAAGCTCTGATCTTTGCTCTGCTCTGCTGTGTACTGTGACAATGGAGAGGCACAGATGCAAGCTTTGCTCCAGGGCTTTTGCTAATGGCAGAGCATTGGGTGGTCACATGAAGGCTCACCTCGCAACTTTTCCTCTTCCACCCAAAACCCACCAACTCACTGAGTCCGACTCGTCTTCGTCTTCCTCCTCCGGCGAAGAACCAGAAGAAGAAGAGCAGCATTTACAAGAAGAAGAAGGAGAGGAAAAGGGTTTGATTTATGGGCTGAGAGAGAACCCAAAGAGGAGTTTCCGGCTTGCAGATCCTGAGTTTTCTTTTGTTAATGCTGGGTCGGTGATTCAAGACAGGGAGAGTGAGACCGAGTCAAAAAACCCAACTCGAAGACGATCTAAGCGGAACCGGAGATCATTCGTTGTTGTTACAGAGAATCTGCAGAGCCCGAATTTGGAGTTGAAGAAAAAAACCACGTTGACAATCTCAACACCGCCGCGTTTGGCCGAGTCTCCTCCTCCGGCTGCTGAGCCAGAACCGGTGAGCTCGGTCTCCGATACTTCTCCGGAAGAAGATGTTGCTATGTGCCTTATGATGCTGTCAAGAGATGTGCGGATGGTAAGATCAAATGATCATCAGCACGCAGATCAATTGGTTCAAGCTCAAGAACAACAGGGTAAACAAGTAGTAGCTGAGAAGTTGGACGGGATCAAATTGAAGAAACTTCGAGGGAAGAACCGGTGTGAGAAATGCAACAAACTGTTTCGATCTTTTCAAGCAATGTGCGGGCACAAAAAGATTTGTTTTCGCAACGAGGAGGAAGCAATCAACAATGCAGGTGGTGAGAAGCTGTTTGAGTGCCCGTTTTGTTACAAGATATTTGGTTCCGGTCAAGCTCTTGGCGGTCACAAAAGATCTCACCTTTCGGGTTCTTCAAGATCAATGGTTGTATCAGTGGCTGCAAAAACTGAAGTTAGAGAGGGTTTCATAGATCTCAACCTGCCTGCTCCGGAAGACGATGATGATTTCAGCGTGCTATCGGATGCCTAAAACTGTAAAAAGTAACGGACTTTTCCATCAAAACTCGGATCTAAAGGTAAAAGAAATTCGATTATTTTGAGTAACATTGAGATCAAATGGTGAAGATTGAAACACTTTTTCAATACTTTCACTCATAGATCAATCGATTCGCTCTTTTTTTTAGGTACTGGTATTGTTCATTTCTGACCGTATTCATTTTGTTTGTGCACTTTCAAGTTCAACAACTGTTTGGTCAAGTTCCAACTGCAGTAACAACTTGTTCTATGTACTGTTGTTGACTAGAATACAGAAACTAGAATTGTTCTTTTTTTTTCTTTTATTATATAGTAAAATTCAAGTAATTAGGTACTACCCCAATGCATTTAAGAAGAGCGTAACGAAATGCGATACTTGCTGTAAAATTGCAGAATCTCGTGAACCATCGAATCTATTGTTCTAGTTGTTCTTGGGTTGTCAATGTGCTATGCTGCTTCTGCTTGAGGTCCAGTTTTCCAGTAATTCTTGCAAATTGTCCCATCTAATAAAAAATAAATAAAAATGAAATTAAAAAGTTATATTCTTTGTATGATTGTTTTGTTTGTCCCATTTGCTCTTTCTCTCTCTCAGCTGGTTGTTTTAGCTTGAAGCATAGGATCAAATGATTTCTGAGGTCTCTGAACCAACAAACTGCAGACCTTTTTTTCCAGATGACCAAAATAACCTTGAAAGAAGAACCTAATGACATTTTTTTTTTGTGTTTGATTGTGACCAAAGAAGATCCCAAAACCCCTTTTTTCAATTTGTGAATTTAATTAAAAAAATTAAAATAATATCTGCCTTGAAATGAACGAAGTATCCGGGCAGAGGAGGTGCCAGCCATCCGCTGCCATGCTTACCATTCTTATCGAAGAATCAGTCAGAAGACTAGAATTTGTTTAAATCTTCGTACATTGGATGCTTTTATACGCTTTTTAATATGCACAAAAATAAGAATTTATATTACAATCTAGAAGTGTTTTTATTTACTTGATATTTATGTGAAAATTCTCAATTCCTACTTGTGTTAAATTCGTTGAAAACTAAAATTTTACATTAACTTTTATGATTTTTGAATGTAACCCACCATTTATATGGTCATTAATTCTAATTCTTTTATTTTAATAATATAAAATTATGTTACTAAGTACTACAAAATAGTGATATTCTTATTTACTTCTAAGTGAGAGGTTTTAGGTTCGTATCTCGTAGATAGCGAATTTGATACTAAATTAGGTTGCCCATTGTGTGGCTTGACCAACATCTCCCTCAACTTAGTGTAAAAATATCAGGATACTAAAAATATTATATAAAATTATATACAAGCAATCTCTTTTCCTTACATCACTTTTCTAGTCCCTTCTTGTACATATATATTTCAAGTTTTTTGATTTGTTTGAATTTTAACATGTACTTGTTTAATGGGGAAAAATTCTTGGTTCACCTTGTGAAAATTTTCATAAGCTAACTGATATTGTGAAAAATACATTATCAAATTTTTTTGTTCATAAAGATTGACGAAAAATTTCTAGCTCCGCCCTTGTGATAGTAGAATGTCGTCTGTGTTGTGACAGTAGAACATCGTCTGTATAAGGTCCCGGCTTCTCCCGTGTAGGGTCCTTTTATGCATGTGTGATTTTTTCATGCTTCATATGATCTACTCGTTAAAGGTTGACTAAAAACGATCTACTCAAATTATGCCTGTGATTTTAAAAAGCAAAGTAATTGTGCAATGGTAGGTCACGAGTAGGGCTGTGAATCAAATTGACCAAATCTGTTGATTCGAATCGTAGTGGTAAAGTTTGATTTGATTTTTGATTCACAAAATTGCCCAACGGTTCAAAATGGACCCAACTGTATAATTTTGTTCAATTTGGTTTTGAGCTTTTGTAAAACGACTTAATTGTACTGACCACTTAAGGACGGATCCATTAAGGGACCAACCGTGTCCTTGAATTCTACGGAAGACGCAAAAATAGCTTGGGAGGTCCTATGGGTACCCTATGTCAATAGTGGGACAAGACCTCGTAGTGACCACCAACTCTAAGTGTTTAATGTAATGCCTACTCTACAAATGTCACTAGGTTATACTTCACATGTCTTGATAAGTTCAACAGGCTTTGGCAGCATGACTCAACAGATGTCGACAAGCCTATCAAGTGCTCGACAAAGTACTCTCACTGACATAACCCAATAGAAATCAATTTAACTCGAAAACTTTTTTTTTTGGTAGAACTCGAAACTTTTTGCTCTCTTCTCACGCGTCTATGTTTTAAAAAAGTTTTTTAACTTCTATACTAGAACCACATAAGCCATGAGGTATGATTTCTAGATTCACCACTTTGACCAATTATATATTCATTTTTGTATTGTTTTATTTTAAATGTTTAATATTCTTATTGGCTAATAACTAAGATAAGAATGTTGAATTTAATTTTATGGAATTTGAAGCTATTGATGTTGGGGCAAGTGTATTAATTTTTGAACTTTGAGGTTTGATGGAATTTTGAATAATAATAAATACATAGGAAGTTATGAGTTATGTAAATCTTTTCGCACACTTATTTATTGCTTGCTTTTTGTTTGAAAAAATAAATGTGCATAAACCAATTTTCTTTGTTAAACAAAAATATACTTAGGAAGAGAAAGTGAAAACTCTCCCATACAATGGAAAGGAAAATGTGACCAAAAGAAAGAAATAGTGAGTGTAATTTTTTTTTTTTTTTTAAACGATAAATTTTGTAAGTTTAGATTAGTTAAGGGGTTTGAACTCACGCTATTATGCAAGGTCTTAATACATTTCTATCACTGTAGTAAATAATCACTTACAAATAATGGGTATTATAGAGAGAAAAAGATAGAACAATGTCGGCAGCATTTGTCATGTGGCTCTGGGCGGCCCTTATTTTCGTGCGTTGGCTTTGACCCAAAGGTCGTATAATTCTCAGGAGAAGAAGCTGGCTCATGGCTGCCGGCTTTACTTTCCTTCCTTCCATCCATACATCCCCCTTACCTTGCTTGAACATCTTTATTAATTAATTAATTAAACTCTTTTGCTTTCAAACCGGTAGGGCAGCTAATTAAGCTTTTACTAGTTATTCAATGCGAAGTCATGGTCAATGCACAGAAACTCATGCTTAGAATAAATGTTAACATTACCATTGCCAAACTAAATTGTGACTTGTGAGTTCCTATCTTATATGAAGACTACATTTGGGTTACGTTTGAGAGATTAAATTTTCTGCACTAAAAACCCTATGTGATTTCTATGTGTTTTATTTATTTGAGTGACACGTGTCTTTTTAGCTTAATTCATTTTTAGTTTTTATTTTATTTTATTTTTATCGAGAAGATAAGTTGAAGAGTTAACATTATTAAGTGAGGTTTAAATGAATGGTCAGGTGTCAACAAATGAGATAAAGACGTAGAAAGACCACATGCAGAAGATGTGAACTCCATGCTTGATGCGTGGTATTGAATTAGATTAGATAACTCACTAAATTTAAAATATGTTAAACTGTAAAAGGAGGAAACGGAGGTCGACTTTTAAATTATGTTCAAGTTCAAGGTGGAAAATGGTAAATGACAAACACACACCATTTTTAACTTCTGACACACACTGTTAAATCTTGTTTGTCGATTGCGCTTGATTTATATAATTTGAAAACTAAAACTTAAGATGAGTATATGACCAGCTAAAAGATGAATTTGTGTGCCCTAATGTAACAGCCCGTGGTCGAGTAACGTCTCCACAATCAGTAGTCATGATGCCCAAGAGAAGTACCATAAAATAAAGAGGGCAACAAGAAGAAAAAAGAAGTTTTAAGAGACTGCCAACGCCATGATGGTGATCCGATATTGATTCTAGGTGTGCTGCAATTTAAAGCATGGTATCATAAGCAAGACTTATGAGTGAGTCCAAAGCTAAAGGAATTCCAAACAATTACCTACTTTTTATAAATTAGATTAGTCACCAAGTGTCAGTTATGACATGAATTAGGATCGATGGGTTTTCACTCTCAAATCTATCAAGCTCTAATCCCTAAACCAACCGCTTTCAACTAGGCAAATTTAGAGTTTAACTTGGATAAAAGGGTCCATTGAGAATACAGAGCTCCATAAATGACATGTTAGTGATAACCAATCTCATTATTTGTCCACTTCATAATTTAATGTTAGTTAAATCATTACTTAACGCTGACGCCATCACTTAACATTGGTGAATTAGCAAATTTCCATTTTTCAAAACGTTAGCTAATTATTTCAAAAGTTTTAACGGGTTATTAGGACCAATTTAAAATTACACCAAAAGGATGGGTAGTTCCATACTTACTGAATTTAATTTCCGAATAATTTCCATTGAAATTAAAAGTAGTTTAAGTCTTAAAATTTTCAAATTGTGAAGAACACACATTGTAACTTTAAAAAGAAAATTGAGACTTACAAATCAACACAGGTTTTTCATCCATCATCCATTCAAGTAGCCTTCTTCTTTGAGAGCATTAGTTGCATATTATTCTCTTAATTATTAGTTAATATATGAGAAGCGTTGTAACTTGTACGTCTTGATTTTCCTCTTATGCCTTCACACGTTCTGTTTGAAGCAATGCGTCTGACGAAATGCTTTGAAAAAAGGCGCTTTTAAGCTAAAAATGCAGGCAAACCCTGCCCATGTTCAACTTCACGAGCTTGTTTATCCCATCAAGTAGAGATCTTATCGCTCGAAAGACCTATCTCTTAAAAACCGATAAGAAAATGCAGTCTGATGTTTGCTAAGGAGACTACCAACTAAGCTTATACACCAGAAATTGCTGCTGCTGGATCTTTCTAAATCTTAGTATTTTTATAAGCATGTAGAGTAATTTGTACAAAGCACCAAAAAATTGAAACAAAAGCATCACTGAGGAAATGCAGACTATAAGAATAAGAACAACCGACAATACATAATTCGTCAGAACGCTGAAAGATAATCTATACCTTTTTTCAGTTGTGTTACAAAGTTGACTCGCTTATTACAGAAAGCCAACGCAGTTGTGTTCAAGTTTCAACTACTAATTACAACGCGCATCAAACTTTTGAAATACCTGGTGGCAAAGGCTTGATCTTGCCCAACAGCTTTTCAGCTTCAACAAATCCAATTGATCCCGCAGACAAATACTTTATACACTTCCATCTGTTCAAGTATAATTAGGTATGTCAGTTCAATGAACAAGCAGGATGTAATCATGTAAGAGAAATCCCCGAGGTACAAAATAGCTTGCCTGGGTGTGTAGGGTAGTGCAAAACAATGTAGGTGAAGATGGTTAACGGAGTTGAATGGAGGCTGATGAAATCCAAATCTGTCAAAAGGAAAGTCCAAAATCATAATCAAAACTCTTTCATAATTGAAATCGTTTGAATCATGAAATCCTAATATTTTGATCCAATCATTTACAATTAATGATGCGTGCATGCCCGGTCTAATTCAAGTTTAAATGTCTAATTGTTGTGTATCATTGAAGGATTCACAAGCAATCTCACATACTCATTTACAGAAAGACCATCTTCCAAAGAAGGCGTAAAGCGGCCTAGTTGGTCAGGGATACATCAAATTACAGAATTAATTAACATTCACATTCTTCACCAGCTCATTTCTGCATTAAGCAATCTGTTTAGATAGCATATAAAGATTTTATTAAACCAATCGATTGTTCTGACTTATTTGGGGATAGCATAATGACGCGAAACAAATCTTAGCACAAATTTACATGAAGTAGCTTCTGAAGATCAATCTGTTTGTGCACGCAATTACAAACCCGAAAATAATACTAGAAAAAACTTAAATCGCAAGGCAATACCTGTACTGATGGCATTGCGGTGCATCTCGTTGTATTAGCGTTTTCCCCACTTCTAACATGTGACTTACTGTATAAGAATGAAAAAAATGGAGAACATAATCACGAAACATATCAACAACAAAAGGCAAAAAATTAAGAAATAGCAAGAAAAGTCACACATTGGTTCAATTAGATATGATTTTGAACTAAAGATACCAACAAATTCAGATTAGATTACCCAAAGAGTAGTCTTCAGGTTTCCTCTGAAGATCCTTAACAGTTGGAATGTGATCCACAGGAATAACCAAGTAATGCCTACACAGGATTAGATTGGAATTCGACTTAAAATTCAATTAACATGGTAAAATTCATGCATAAAAATTGGGAAATTACTTTCTATCAGCACCTTACAGCAGCAGGGTTGACGTCTTGAAAAGCAACGACCTTTTCATCCTGCAGGAAAAACCAGTTGACCAATTACTGAACTACAGCATCAAGATAATTACGACAAGCAGCGTTTGGTTGCTGAGAAAATGGGAAGGGGACAAAACCCAATTGGAAGCTCAACTTTCTGGGCATCCAAACTAAAATGGAAAGGAAAAATAAATGGGTGGAGAGAGAGAGAGAGAGAGAGAGAGCAGACAGTGTGGAGGAGAGTGGTCGAGGTGGATTTTCCGGCGATCTGGCAGAAGATGCACGGTGAAGCTAGGGCTGCTGCTACCGCCATCGGCTACCCTAAACCGCGAGCAGAGTTGAAGTTGATGGGAGTCAGACGCGTTTGGAGCTCTCTCCGTGATTTGTTTTGTTGCCAGCATTTTCTGAACTATTATTTTTGTATATGGATGACGCTTTCTCTGTTCTGCCTGATAAACTTTTTTTTTTCAAGTATCTGGTATTTGAGCTGGTATCTCGGTAGAGATAGCTACGGTTCAGTTTAAAAACGAAAATTCTATGTTCATCTCTAAAGTCATGAAAATTAATTATATCTATCACAAAATTAATTATCAGAGATTATCCATAACCATTTACCGAGTAATGAATTATTCATCGGTTAACAATTATATTTATGTTCACCAATACCTATAATATATTTGTTTAATTAATGCATTATAATATAATAGTACTAATTTCGTCATTAAATATCTATGTCCAATCATAAAAAACATAACAATGTTCTTTTGTAATTGTTGATGATAAGCCAAATGTGATAAATTGGTCCAATGAAAAAAGAAAAGAATGATAAATGCAAAAACAACAATCATTAAAAAAAAAAGAAAAAAGACAAGGCAAATTGTCAAATAATTCTAAAACTTGTGACAACAAAATTAGAGCATTGAATTTAAAACACTGATGGTGTTGGATGATCTTTTTTATCTCTCCTATAAGCATCAATGAATTCACATTGGTTTTGATTCTAAACTTGTGAACTTTCCACAAAATGCAATTTTTGTAATTTTCAAGATAATGAGTTCAGAGAATACTTACATATATACATACATACATATATATATATATATATTATATAACACAATATTATATTATATTATATTATATACGAGTTGTATTATATATAAATCATATTGTTCGGGTCGGATTCGGGAACAGATATAAATCGGAGACTCATATAACCATAGTTAATACCATAATCGAATAATATTTTTGGGTTTTCCCCTATCCAAAATATACCAGAATTTTCATCTCCAACAATCCGTCTCATTCGGACAGTTATCCACAGTCATTGGGTTTAATGGTTTGAATTATCATCCCTAATATCTCACGTATGATGGTTAATAAGATAGTAACTTTTATTATTAAAAGGAGATGAGAGGATTCGAAACTATTACAATAATTTAGAGGAGGGAGAGTTTGAATTGAGATGCATGAGTGAAAACCTATTACCCTATTCATTAAGATATGGCTTTTTAGCCAAAATGGTTCTTCAAATTTGCATAACACATCATTTTGGTCCCTGAATCGAAAATCAATAGAAATGGTCATTGAGATTGTCCACCATCTATTATTTTGGTCATTCCGTTAAAAACTCCGTTAAGTGTCCCAGAGCTCTTGACCGAAAGTTTAGGCAATTTTCAAAACTTCGTAACTCAATTGTTTCTTAACCAAATTTGACCCATAATATATCAAAATGAAGATAGGAAAGTGTAGAATAAGATTATACATATTTGGAAGCCCAATGGTTACCGGAGATGGCCCGAAAATAGCCTGAAAGGTGACTGGTTTGCGGAAAAACTGGAAAACTCGCCCGAAATTGGGTAAAATTTAAACGTTCATAACCTCTTCAATACTCAACGAAATCAAGTGATTCAAAAGCAAAAATCATACTTCTCGATGAGACGAAGAGAATGGTACCTTTTTTTGACAGCTAACTAGCCATGGTTTGGCCAGAAAACGGCTCGAAAATGGCTATCTTGGTCTCCAGTTAGCCACTTTCGAGCCGTTTTCCGGGCAAACCACGACGAATTAGCCATCAAGAAAGGTATCATTCTCTTCATCTCGTTGAGAAGTATGATTTTCGTTTTCGAATTACTCGATTTCGTTGATTATTGAAGAAGTTACGAATGTTTAAATTTTACCCAATTTCCGGCGAGTTTTCTATACTTCCCGCGGACCAGTCACTTTTCAAGCTTTTTCAGCCATCTCAGGTAACCATTGGCTCTCAAATAGGTATAATCTTGTTCTATACTTTCCTATCTTCATTTTGATATATTATGGGTCTAATTTGGTTAAGAAACGATTGAGTAACGAAGCTTTGAAAATTGCCTAAACTTCCGGCAAAGAGCTTCAGGACGCTTAATGGAGTTTTTAATGGAATGACCAAAATAATGGATGGTAGACAATCTCAAGGATCATTTCTATTGATTTTTAATCTCAGGGACCATTTCTATTGATTTTCAATCTCAGGGACCAAAGTGATGTATTATGCAAATCTCAGAAGTCATTTTGGCTATAAAGCTTTAAGATATTTGACAACATGTTTAAAACAACATTTAAATTGCATTTTAAAGCTGTTTTAGTAGAAGCATAGTATAAACTTTAATAAATATTTTTATTTCATATGATAAACTCATTGATTTTTTTCTAAATGACATCATCAATCTTTTCCGACTCCACCACTACCTACTGAGTCAATGCCACCACCAATAGCGTCCCCCATCATAATTGCCACTACCATCTATCGCACCACCAACTTCTTCACCACTGTGACCACCATTGCAACCACCATCTTCGCCACCATCACCAACCCTCACCAACATCATCATCACCATCACCAACACCAGCACCACAACGATCATTATCACAATTTGAATTACCGTTTAAGCTCTCGGGGAGCCATTGGAATTTCTTCTAAATAGAAAGCATAAAGTTGTTTGCCTACTTACTTTGGGAAGTCAAATGCCAAGGCAGACCTTTATTTTTATTCTTCGGGATGAAGGATAGTACTCTTTTGCTAGAAAAGCGAATAAAGCTTTAGTTGGGATGCCTTTACATCTCCTGTATCTAGCCCCCCATAACATAGGAATGAGAATTCAAATTCTCTTATGTCTCATCTCTTGGGTGCCCAATCCAAATTAAACAAGAGCAGTAGATCCACGGTGGTGAAGGAAGCAATGCATTCTGAAAGATCTTCAAATATGAAGGTCTACCTACAATCTTTTTATTCTTGTGGTGAGATAGGGTATGAGATGTAGGACTACACCAAGATGTCAGATGAGAGATAGACTTCTCAAATTTTCTTTTATTCATTGTTGTGCTTTAAATTTGATTAAACATTTTCCTACAATTTGACAGCTAGGGAATTCTAATTTATCCAATTTTATCTCAAATTTTTTTTATTGAAATTCCTTTTGTATCTCTCAACTTAGCGAAAAACTTGACGGCGTCAACGAAAAAGGTCATAGGTGCAACACATGACATAATTTGAGGTCTAGAGCAAATATTATTAAAATTCAGGAATCAAAATTAAACTAGTTGTATAGTTCAAGACCATTGTACAATTTAATATGGGAAATTAAACGCATTGATGATGATAAATAAAGTAAAAAAAAAAAAAAAAATTAATGAGCATAGATTTGGAAGGAATTATAATTTAATTCTTCAGTAACGTTTTTAAAATTTTAATTAAAATTTATAACCTGTTCTGAAGTTAATTATTGGGTGAGAGAGAGAGAGGACAGTAGAGGGTGAGAGAAGGGCTCACGTTATGTGAATTGTACGTTTACCTCCTGGTCTTTCACCTTCTTACCTTACAAGTAATACAGATTCTATGAGAATTTATTCTCCATTCCTATTGGGATTCTACTTTAAAGTTTATGCAATCATATTCCCAATTAATAATTCTATTCACAACTTAGTAGTAGTCACATCCAGTCTTCATAATTGTAAGATGGTTGTTGTCGTTAGTTCTCAGCATATATAAATAATTTCTAACACGAGTCTTATAGTAGGGGGACGTTTAGGATGATCATTAGCATACACAAGGGTATGACTAGCACAGAGTATGTGCCTCATTGAAACCTCGTCAGGTTAGTAAAAACCCAGAAGAAAAAATGCTATTGATTGTAGAGAACAGAGTACATTAAGGTCATGTGAGTATACTATAGAATACTGGCTTGAGTTCGACAAAACTCTCCAAGAGAACTACGAGTGATACAAATATGAACATTTACACAAACCAATTTTATGACAAAGCTTCTGAAGGTAGGCTTTAGCAACGACTTCATGAATAGGTCGACATGATTGTCCTGGGATCGGCTCTATTTAACTATTAAAGATATTACTTGTCTCTTAAGTAAAGAAACTCTAATTCAAGTCAAATTAGGATATCTTGGGGATTAGATAACATAATCAAGATTCTAAGAGGATTGGGTATGTTATCCTAGATTCCCTCCTAGATAGCCTCTCAATTTGATGAATTGCCCTAGATTTTCTCCTAGATAGTTTCTCAATTTGGTGACGATTACTTTCCCTATAAAGACTTTCAAGATCCCTATAAATACTCTAACTTGGGTATTTATCAAGGGGGACATCCACATCTCTTTCTCTTTGACTCTCTCAAGACTACTACACATATTTTCTTTATGCCTAACATAGGCCCATACGTCACCGTTTGCTCGAAGACACGTCCATGGAGAACTCATCTCCTTAATGCTCCACCATAGGCTTTCGTCAAGGATGGTTCATACCATTCTTTCTTAAACCTATACCCGTGGTTTGGTTCTCCTCTTCGGAGATATGTAGACATCCCTTTTCTGATTCAATCACACCCCCAATCAAACCCATTATCTCCACACCAGAGATCATAGGCTATCCTGATTGGAATTCAACTTCGCCTGTAGATGTGCGCGACTTTGGTTCTAGCATTTTCTTTAACTGGTTGATACATGCAACCTTTGAATCATTATTGGAATGTCAATGATAGAAGAAAAAGCACATGAGGTTCTTATATGATCAATCACACCCCTCAACCAAAAGCATTCATGCGATGCTTCGTGTAGGGCTAGAATCTCTGCGTGATTTGAAGACATAGCAACCAAGTCCTATTTGGTTGATCTCCAAGATATTACAGTATATCTAACCGTAAAGACATAACCCTCTTGAAAACACGCCTTGTGCGGGTGAGATTAATAACCCTCGTCAGCATAACCAACAAGGCAAAATCATTCCGAGGATTAGGGATTGTATTCGCTCAATGATGAGTAGGGATAGAGTAAGCCCATATTAATTTTCCTTGAAGCTAACGTATGATGTCATGATGTCTTTAACATCTATCCAATGTCTGTGTGTAGGCTGTATCTTATTTTTTTAATTTCTATAATAAATTTAAGAAATGTTATCAGCACTTCAAAAATCTTATTTTGCACTTCTCACACTTGTATTTTGCTTCACTTGTAAGTGAGAGGTCTTAGGTTCGAATGTTGTGGATGACAAATTCGATACCAAATTAGGTTGTCCATTGTGTTGCGTAATCAAACTCCCCCTCCCCTTATAGCAACTCTACACCTAAAAAATGAGTTAGCCCAAAGTCCATTTAATCCACCCAAATGAATAGTAATTGACTCCAATGAACAGTAATTGGCTAAGTGCATCTTCACTTCTAAAAAATGAGCCAGGCAAGAGTCTAGTTAATTCGTATTAAAATATCATTAGTTTTTTTTTTTTTTTTTTTGTAAAATAATAAAAACTAATATTATTTTTAATTTTGGATATAATTTTAACCAATCTTGTCCTGCCACTTGTCATTTTTCGAAAGTACAATTTTTGTGAAAGATGGTTAGGTGTGTGTGTATATATAATCATTTAATTTTTTTTTGGTATTTTAAAACAATTTTTCTATTTTTTTTATTAAGTTAATTAATTTGGACCATTGGATTTCAAAAAGGATTAAATCTAACAGCCCAAAATTGGACACGTGGCCCATGGTAAGATTCTGACATTTTTTTTAATGTTGAAACGCGGGCCAGCGACAAAAAAAAGAAAATGAAATTCACATAGCTGGCGTCATGTAGGCCAATCTCTTGCTCAATCCATTATGTGCTGGGCTCAAGGTTAGCCTCCACTTTGGATTAGCCTATTGCGGGGTGGAGTGAGTTTTTTTTTTTTTTTTTGGTTGGGGGGGGGTGGCCTACAAGAGACTCTAGGCTAGCACATTTGTTAGGGATGAAAGTGCTCTTATTGTAGAATATATAGTTGTCATTTGAAGTACATAATGAGAATTTTAAAATGCTAATAATAGTTCTTTAAATTTAAATATAATTATTAATTATTTGTCAATAAAATAATAAATTTTTTTCAACCACGATTCGTGAGGAAGAAAATAATAATTAAAACATGGCGATTGAAACGTTTCTAACGTCAGTAAAAGCCCTAGTCTCAGTCTCTCACCGTCACTGACTCGCTCGCCGAACTCACCACCGCCATGTTTCTCAACGCCTCCTCCTCGTCTTCCTAATGCTCTCTCGAATTGCCAAAACCTTATTTCCCAAACTACCCCTTCACTCTACACCCCGGCTTGCCCGACCCATGAGCTCCCAGCCGACTCAGCGCGCCTTCCAGCTCCGTGTCAACCCGCTCACCGGAAACTCCGAGTGGATCGTCATTGAGGAAGACGGACCAGAGGAACAAACTTTCAACAATCCCCAAAATGCCCTTCTCGCCACAACGTCGTATCTGGACATGCTCAACGACTCCCCTCGAAACAGAGCATTCCGTGCAGCCATTGACAAGACCATCACCGCTCCCTGCCATGTTCTCGATATCGGGTTAACCTCATAATTACCAATTAAATTTGATTTAATCAATGAAGTTTACATTTGATTGATTTAATTAATCAAATTTTGAATTTTGTGCATTTTGATTGATTTGGTTGTTCAAATTTTGAATTTTTGCGAAGTGCTGGAACTGGGTTGCTGTCGATGATGGCAGCGCGGGCAATGGGCCCAACGACATGTCGTATGGTGACTGCCTGCGAGTCTTACCTTCCAATGGTGAAGCTAATGAGGAAAGTGGTGCGCTTAAACTGACATGGAAAACCAAATAAAGGTCATCAACAAACGCTCCGATGAGCTCGAAGTTGGAGTTGACGTTGCTTCTCGTGCTGACGTACTGGTAAGTTTACAAAAAAGGAACAAAACTTTGTGATTGTGCGAAAAATGGTGTGGTTTGATTTCCAGAACAGAGTGTATGCACCATTGTGACTGTGTTTTTAATGGGTAGGTTAGTGAGATTCTGGATTCTGAGTTGTTGGGAGAAGGGCTCATTCCAAGTTTACAGCATGCTCATGACATGTTGTTGGTGGAAAATCCCAAAACCGTGCCGTATAAGGCGACCACCTACGGCCAGGTATGTGAAGATACAAAGATTTTACAATGTGGGATAGGATGGGATGGGAATGGGATACCATGTTTTCTTATGTACCAAATGTTTTGAATAACCCATTTTTGGAAACCTCCCTCAGCTTGTTGAGAGTACATTTTTGTGGAAGCTTCATGATTTACATGGCAATGAGGCGAAAGCATCTGATGGGATTCGTCTAGTTCCAACTGGGTTGGGTGATATTCTAGGTGTTAAGCCGCAACAGTATGCCTTTCACTGCAATGCGATAGAGAATGAAGTGAAACTGGTAATGACATTGTATTACTCTTGGACAGACTTATAGGGAAAACACTTACGGTTTAATTCCTACTAAATTTTGGATTCATCCAGCTGTCCGAACCCTTCAAAATTTTTGAATTTGATTTTTGGAAACGGCCCGACAGTTGTGGGGAGACTGAGCTATTTGTGAAGGCAACTAAAGATGGTCGAGTTCATGCTGTAATTTCATGGTAATTGGACTGAGTCGTTTGTTAATTCATTTTTGTTCCTCTTGAAGAGGCGGTCATGAAAATTTTGGTATCTGTTTGCGTGCGTTATTTCAGGTGGATACTTCAGCTTGATCGTGAAGGGACAATCTTTTATTCCACTGCCCCTAGGTGGATAAGTTTGCCAGCCAACATAAGTAAGTTATAGATAATTCCTTTGTAAGCAAGAACCAATACCATATTAGTGCCTTTAGTGTTCTTTAAGTAAGTTCTGCAGTTTTTTGGTATGTTCACCCTACAAGTCTTATCATATGTTATGATAGCATAGTATGATTGTTTTGCCGTTCTCAGTGACGAATTATCCGCCAACCCACATTAGGTCATATAGGACAAACTTACTCTTCTATTCAGAATTTGACTGCAAATGAAATGATAGCTATTTGTTTTCTTTCATAGTCATGCGATAAAGAAAGTGGTTTTGTTTTTTTGCCAGGTCATGGGGATTGGTGTGACCATTGGAAACAGTGTGTTTGGTTTGTTCCTGGTGAAGGTATGTCCATAACTAAGGATGAAGAGGTTTGTTTACATGCTGCTCATACAGAAACTAGCATCTCTTATAATCTCAAGAACCAATTTCCAAGAAATGAGACTCTACAGTATGGCCTCAAGAATGGGGAATTCAAACTCACACTACCCCCAGAAAGAATTGCAATTTACGGAGACAGTGAATGGAGGCATTCCATGTTTAGTGCCATAACTAAACCTGTAAGATTTAAACACTATCTCTTTATATCTCTCTGTCTGTCTGCCACCGTGTACCTCCGACCTCAGAAGAAAGAAGATAAGTAGTAATAATAATAATAAATAAGAAAAACCTTTCACATTCTTGACATGGATGGTATTCTCACAGTTACAGGGAAGAGTTGATCCGTTATGCATTGTTGCAGATGACAGCATCTTCTTAACACTCCTCGTTGCACATATTTCTAAAACATCACATATGATGTCTTTCTTTCGGGGTTGCAAGGCAAGGGTATTGGATATTTGCAAGCTGTTGCTAGTTCAAATGGTTTTTCAATGGATCGTGTAGAATTTATTAATAAGAGGAAAACAAAGTTGACCATGCATGACACACACCAGAAAAAGGTACTTTCTTCCCAGTGAGTTTGTATACTAGTATGACATGGTACAGTGATGATATGTTGATCGAATGAAAAACAAACAATAATAATAATTCTTTTTCATCCTCATCCTTCTAGGGGTACTATGACATTTGTTTTTTTTTTTCTGTTGACAATTTAGAAACTGAATTGGCATGTTTGGGCCTTTTGTCCTATTTGTAGGTTGATCTATTGATTGGAGAACCTTTCTACTATGGAACGGATGGCATGCTTCCATGGCAAAACCTACGGTTTTGGTATACTATTATTTTCTGTTCCTGCAGTAATTCAAATTATGTGCTTTATGAGATTTTTATGCTTTTTACGGAAATACTATATGTAGACTCAAGTAGGAGTTGGTTTTAGACTCTTCTGTCTATGATAGCAATAACCATGTATATGCATACATACTATATTCATTAGATAATTGTCTACAGAACCGTTGTCTTTTTTATCATTGGTTATTTTCGGTGGCCATGGTTATGCTACGTTGATTGATTTTAGGTATATAAAAGTTGGTAAACCAATATATATAATTCTTGTTATGATTGGGTTTGAAGGAATGAACGGACAATGCTTGACTCTGTCCTATCTGAAGATGCATTGGTACTGCCATGTAAAGCGATATTAAAGACTTGTGCCTTGTCTATCCCTGTAAGTTTTATTCTTACCCACCCGCTCACCCCTTTCCCAATTGAAAAGGCCTATATCTTATTTGTTTTGACCATGTATGTGGCTGTTCACTATGATTATAAGTTATGGTATGCCACCTTTTGGACAGGATCTTTGGAATAGTCGTCGCTGCTTAAGTAAGATTGAAGGTTTTGACCATTCAGTTGTAAATTCCACCTTAGGAGCATGTGGTGAATTACCTGCAGGGCAAGAGTCTCCTTGTCTGTCCTTGTTTCATCTGGCAGTGTGGAAATGTTCGGGTAATCAATCAGAATAGTATATTTTCTGTGGAGGAGTTTTATTTTGTGAAAGTAAGATTTAGGTTCCTTTTTTGACTTGTGTTTTTTTGACTTATGTTGTGGTAACTGTTTAAAAAATATTTCAGAAGCTCAGTGAAGAATTTACGCTTATGGAGTTTGATTGTTCAAAACCTATAACGCCATCTTATGGAGAAACCCAGGTACCATAATAGAAATCTTATCTGTGGTCATCCATGTTGAAATTTTGTTACAGTTGGTTTATTGCAAAGTACAGTAGTGGTGGTATATATCTTAATTAGATAAATGAACATATGCTCTCCGTTTATCACAAACCATGTATGACATTAGCGGCCTCACTAACGTTGATTCTAGGACCTTGGTAGATCAAGAAACAATAGGCTTGCACTATACTTTGTTAATGTGTTCTTTACGTCGCATCTAATAGGTAAAGATTTTTATAAAAACTATAAACTACGATTTCCCCCTAAGTTTTGGTAACAAAAACTGCAGTACCATCCTCCCTCCTTTCCTGTGAAGTGACAGTTCAGATTTTGAATGAATAAATGCAATATTACATGACTCTATTTTTATTATCCATCACTATAATAATCACTTCATGTAACGAAAAATTGGGTCAGAGAATTAATACATATAAGGCATGCTATGGTCTTGCTTAACTGGTGGTTGGAATGCTTCTTGTCAGGTTGAATTTACGGAGCCTGGGATATGCCATGGATTTGCACTCTGGATTGATTGGGTGATGGATTCGGAGAACTCCCTTGTGTTCTCTACAGGGCCAGGTATGGTTGGGTTCCTTGTCGAAGCGGTTCAATGGGAAATTTGCTACTTATAATTGCTTTCTTGCACATTGTTGAACAACCTTCGCTTACTTGTGACTTCAGCTTTGTTACCTTTTGCTCATATGTTGTGTTAAATGTGGATTCAGAAAAGAGATATTGGAAGCAAGGAGTAAAGCTTCTGGCCAAGCCTGTAGCAGTTAGAAATAATGAATCGAGTACGGGAGAAAGTCGGTCTGCAATAATTCAAGCGTCATTTGATCCATCAAACGGTGACCTCAACATCAGACATGATTTCTTATAGGCGGTCATGTGGTTCCTGCCTCAACATCATTTGAACCATCAACGGGATAACTGTTCTCTCTGTCTCAGTCTCTCGTACCGTGTTCTCATGTGCTATCAATGTTGCCAATGTGTTTAGGATTTTGTTAGAGTTCATGCTCTATGGCTGGGGGTGCAAATCCTAGTTTTTATAAGGGTTTGCACCCTGATAGTGGTTCAGTGGTACCTTTTTTATTTTTTTATTTTTTTTTAAGATTTCGCTGGCTGTTACTAAGATCGACGACGAAATTTCGCTGTATCACCTTTCCCCTTCCCCACTTTCACCTTATGTACTTACCTTCTTAATTTTGGCTCTTGGTTCTTCTTTGCTTTATTTTAATTCAATTGCTCAAAAAAAGAAAAAGAAAAAATAAATTGAAGGGTGTTTTCTAAATATAAAATCAGAAGATCCTAAATTTGATTAGTATAGCAGAGGTTTCTAAACAAAAGGGAAATATGAAGGGATGGAACACTGAAGTTTGAAGATCGTTATGAATCTAGCGTAAAATCATGTACTAGTGTTTTACCCACTAGATTTAATTTTCACAGCTGTTGGGTCTTCTATCTTCAATTTTAACCATTCATTTTTGTACCACTTAGTGTTACGTACGTACTAAGGCTGGGCATTCTATAAAAAAAAACCAATTGAACCGCTCGAACCGCACAGATGGTTTGGTTTGGGTTTTTTTTATTTTTTATTTTTATTTTTGTTTTTTTTGTTTTCTAATTTTGGGTGATTAAACTGAACCGCACCAATCATAATCGGTTTGGCAATCGGTTCCCAAAATTCTTAGGGTGAGGTTAACCGAACCGACCTGCATATATTTAATTTTATAATTTTAAATCATAACTAATATGTGTAGTAATATAAATTGTTAGTTATTTATGAGTTACCGTGTTTCCATCACATGAAACAAAACCTGATTAGTTTAAGAGTCCCTTTGGAGAATAACAGGGGCATTATTTGGAGAACGCAACAGCTGCTGCTTTGGTGCTCTCCTTGGGCCGCTTCATTTGTGCTTTCTTTTGAGCAATCACTCATATTGGTGTTAGGTTTTGTAGCTTTTGGAAGAGACATTTATTATGTATTTTCATCTTCACACAAACTAAGAACCAATTCAAACCAACCCGCCACAATAGGTTAACCGACTTGATCGGTTTTATAGACCCAGCTTGGTCGGTTTTGACTTACAATTTTGGCCAAATTGACATAGTCTGGTTTCGGTTTTGGCCCAAAACTGACCCAAACCAACATGTGCCCACCCTTACTACGTATCTCTTTTAATTAATGAAACTCTCTTTGTCAACCAAAAGAGGGTGAAAAAACTACTTAGTCTTCTATCATGCAAACAAAAAAAAAAAAAAAAAAAAAAAAATGATGGGCAATAATGTAATTTCACAGGTCCAAATTTTACTGTTTTTATTGAAGCCTCATCTACAGGTGATATTAAAATACCTCCAATATTTAAAAAAAAAAAAAAAACCTCCCACTCTCCCCACGCACTCTCTCTCTCTCTCTCTCTCTCTCTCTCTCTCTCTCTTTCTCTCTCTCCCCCTCTCTCCTTCTCATTTTCTTAAAAAATGTGTTTATACACACAAAGTGTGTAGGCAAATGTTAGTTATTGATAATATAAAGGCATAAATTTTCTTCTCCCTTGCAACTTTCATCTCCCTTCTCGCCTGTATTTCCAGATAGATTCTAAAAGTCGCAAATATAATAGAATTTAAATAAATGAAACAGGATACACTGATGCTTAATTTGCTCATATTGTGCTTGTTATGTTTGGGGGTTCAATGTCCTATTTTTCATTGATAAATGACGGGAAAAAATTTAGCCAAGAAGCTTTCTCGCAAAGAAACGCTACTAGACCAAGAACTAGTTTTATTTATTTATTTATACGAAATGAGTTGTTCGACGGTTCCTCGAGTGTTGTTTTTGTGTTCTCTTGTTTGTCATTTATTTTCTTCCTACGGCATTTGCAGCTCGTCAAAATGGTTCAATAGTTTCGTATTAGCCTACAACAACAGTAGTTGAGGATTCCGACCTAAAAACAAAGCAAAGTAGTAATACCTCGTATCGCCCGCCACCAAAAGTGTTTAGGTTCTCCAGGGCAGGGATTACAAAATCCCATAATGCCAGACTTATTTACTCTATAAAGCTGCCAGATTAAATTGATCAACCACTAGTGTTCGAAAAACTACTGCAGTTTTAAGGAACAATAGTATCTAGAGTCGAGATTTCTTCTGGTTACAATAGACCCTGCAAACATGGCATGCCAAGCAGACGCACTTTGGCTGCTCAAGGATGAGTTTCCGTTGTTTTCGTGAGCTAGAACGTAACCCTTCCTTTCCCTTTAGGTCGACAGTCGACGGGAAAAGCAGAGTTGCCAAATCTAAGGTTCCCTCACTTTTTAAGTTTTGTAAAATTCATTTTCAGAGTTGAAATGCGTATATATTTTAGATGAAATTATTCAGTTCACCGATGCATCCATCTCAAATACATTCCTAGGATGAGATCTCACGAGCACTTAAAACTGATGATTATCTCAAGATACTAAAAGAAGAAGAAACATTATTCGTAAAACAACAAACCTTCAGTTCCCCAGATTCGCTGATAACGAAATTTAGAGGCAATTTAACATCAATGACCAGTGAATCATTTGATTCTACTGGTGCATCGCTTTTCTTCAAAGCTTTGAGATTCCCCTACAATTAAGAAAGAGCTAGGTAGTTCCTGGGATTGATATATGGAAGAATACATGGAGGAATAATATGGCTGAATACTTTGTGTATTGAATAGAGGCTATGTAGCCCACCATATATATATACAAATACTAATAGTAAAATCAATTCCTGATTCTAATCCTAGAAAGCCGTGATCCGCAATACATGGAATAGCCTTTCCTAGTTTAGACAAGTACGATATTATACATTAATTACAATATATTCTTAATACTCCTCCTCAAGTTGGAAAGTGAAGATTATGAACACCCAACTTGTCTCACAGCTTCACAAATTGATCATTCCCTAAAGCCTTTGTGAATATATCAGCTAATTGAAAAAGCGCAGGTATATACGTAGTGCGAATTATACCAGCTTGTAATTTTTCTTGAACTATATGACAATATATCTCAATATACTTGGTACGTTCGTGAAAACAGGATTTGCTGCGATGTACAAGGTTGCTTGATTATCACAAAACAATGAAGCGGGAATTTTATGAGGACCTCATAAATCTTGTAATATGTAATGCATCCAAGTTATTTCCAGGCAAGTATTTGCCATAACACGGTATTTCCTGCATTATCTTGCTTCTTGGACTTCCACGAAATGAGTGAATTGCCAAGAAAAACACAATATCCCATAACTGATCTTCTTGTGGCACGACTGTGAAATCCCGTTCATGGATTTCACTATTGCAAACTACGTATTTGTATTAAGGAGAATTTATATTATTTTTGAGAATTTATATTAAATTTAGATTTTAATTAAACTATTGTGAAGTTCAAATTTTGGTCAGTAATCATTAAAAATTCGTGGACTTATGGGGTCACACTAAGTATAATTGGATAGAGCTCGACCTTATGAGCGTGTAGGCGAAAACCGTTTGCGAATTGGAGTTGAAACGAAGAAATTAGAGATGTTTTAGTTGTTAAAAAAAAAGAAAGAAAAAAAAAAAGAAGAGAAAAGATTGGAAGTTGCCAGATGCAAGCGGGAGAGAGGGGGAAAATGAGGAATGTAGGAGAGAAGAAGGGGTGGAGGAGGCAGACCAATAGGAAGGAAAGAACTGGGAGGAAAATGAGAGAGGTGAGAAGCACCAAACCTAGACCCATTTCCCTTGACCTATACACCATGACCTGACTCGGTTCTCGCAAGGCAATCCCGACTGTCTCCTCGGCCTTTTTCCTAGTGAATCTAGTTGGAACCTCACCTGGAAACAACTCCCTACCCTTCCCTCTTCCATTTCCATCCAAAACCCACTTCGAATAGCCCCGATTTTTGGAGGAACAGAACCCATTGGTTCCATGGGTGTCCCGGTGAGATACATCGATTCCGAAGGTCCTAACCACCACCACCAAACCACTCCTTCAGAGGCCAGGAACAAACCCCAAACAACCTTGGAGGCGGCGGAGCACTGGAGAAGTTGAATCAAGAACACCCATTTCTAGGGTTGTCGACGGATCGAGGCGAATTCAAGCCATTTATCAGCCTAATTGAACTTCGGCCCAGGTATGAAAATTGGTCCCCTCATTGAGATTTACAATTCTGTAAATTTTAGTAATTTTTGGAGTTCGTCGGAAAATTGGGTTTCCGTTCATCGGAAACCGCCGCATGTGGCGGTGCGTGGCCAGTGGGCCAACTCTGTCTTTCTAGGCTAGATTCAATACCCTGAATTGATTAGTGACATCCGATTGACGTCGTTTGAATATAGTTTTGCTAGATGCTGCCACTTGATTATTATAATAATCGACAATCTAACCGTTAGATCGTTGCCAAGCTTTGATACGTGATAGTATGTAATATTTGAGGACCATAGGAACTTACGGATCGGGAACCTGAAAGGGGATTTTCCTGAATTGAATTTCTAAGTTTGTAAAAACCAAACATTGATAGCAACCTAATTCTTGCAATTGGTGGAGATCCGACCGTTGATTGTTCCGAAATTTTAGAATATTGTTCTAAAAGATAAATGAGATCCTTGGGAAGTTACGGATTGGAAATCCATAGGCGGATGTTCCAGATTGACTTGTATAGGATTGTGGACCCCACCATTGATAGAGACTCGACTTTTGGTCAATATGCTACGAATTGATCTTAAATATTAAAATTAGTATTACTAGAGACTATGTAGGGCTTAGTGGGCCTATATTGGTTAGTGAGTTATCCCAGATAGTATATACATCGGTTTACGTGTATAGGACGTCATATTGCGTTATATATGTGATTATTTATCTTCTTGATATGAATGATATGTATGTTAACTGTTATGACATTGTGAGCCTAAAATCCTATTAGAAGTGTTCTGTAGAACATATATGCTTGTGTGACATGGTAGTTAGTGATCATGAGGAATTGATAGTGCAAGTGATTATGATGTAAATCATAGAGGTTGACATAAGGGTAAGTGGATTGTGTGTTGATCTAACTACACCATGTAGCAGAGGTACATGGATGGTCCTGCTTGGTATATCCGCGATGGGGGACCATACGTATTCAGGGGTGATCATGCTTCGTATATCCACGATGGGTGATCACCACCTACACGAATAGACTATGCTTATGGTTCTGCTTGGTATATCCGCGAT